AATGAAATAATGTTAAAACAAGATGATATTAATACCACTAACGATGTATCGAATGCGAATCGAAATTTATAACTCAATTGAACAGTTATTTAAATTGAAAATACATTATCATTCTAAACGCATAATAAATAATGAAATTATTTAATATATACAATACACTCTCTGTGTGTGTGTGTGTGTGTGTATGTTTTAACTATTATTATATTACTTTACAGTGCACATTAATTTCTATTTATCATTTGCAAATTTAATTTTAGAAATAAATCATTTTAATTTGGTTATAAAAAAAAATAATAATAATAATAAATATATAAAAATTTCGTCGATAATATATGTGTCCTACGAGATAAGAATACATACATACATACATACACGCACGCACACGCACACACACACGTTATTGCCACCCACGACGTTTATTTCGGCCACCTGTTGAAGGATTCGCATCAAACAGCAACGTAATTTTTTTTCCCTTTCACCCCGATAACCCCCTCTTCCTTTAAAAAAATCCCACCCACCCCCCCCATAAGTAAGAACGAAATATTTTTTTGTATTCTTACAGAAAATTCTATGTACTCATTATTTCTTTCAAACTACACCTAACTAAATATAATCGAATTTTCTTTTTTTTTTTTTTTAATATGATAAATTTTGTCCCTATCGTATATTAAATTCAATATGATATGATAAAAATGTTTTTTAGTTATCGTAAAAAATTAATTTTTTTTTAAAGATCCAACATACATATTTATGCACTGTCGATTCTTTTGTAATTCTTTTTTCATTTTTTCTTTTTTTTTGAATCTTTTAATAAGGAAAATGTTTGATTTTGTACCCCGTGCATTTTTTTAAACAATATTTTCTGTTATTTATGTTATTATTATTATTATTATTATTGTCTTGTCGTTTTGAACAATCTAAATATGATCGAAGGATAATATATTTTTTGTAATAATTTAAACACACTGCCACACAGAAAAACAGGAGGAGAATATTTTGTTTTATTTCTTTCTTTTTAATTCTAATTTATTTTTCAATAAAATTTATTTCGCGTCCTCGTGCGTTTGAGATTTTTTTTAAAGATTTTTATATGTGTGTGTATGTGTATGTGTATGAGTTAAATGTTGTACTTTAAACGCGATCGAAAGTTTTATTTTTAATATTTATTTATTTGATCGATCGATCAACACCACACCATAGATCATCGATCGTTAGATCATGTTCGTACTTTGAAAAAGAACAGATCGAAATTTGAAATCAAAAGAATATAATGAACGAACAATTTAAAAAAATCTACTCCTATCGATTGTTCGATAATTTGTTTTTTTTTTTTTTACGCTACAAATAAATAAACAGATATTTTTTTAACGTCATACTGATGATAAAAAAAAAAAACAAAGATTTACTCTCGCGTTTCTATATAACAAATTCTTAATGATAGAAAAATTTCGATCGTACTTTTGAAAATGAAACGTTTTATTTGTTTTTCTTTTTAAATTTCCCCTTTCCCTTATTTGATTTCTACGTTTTATTTAAAACGTATAATCTCCAATATACAAAATGTATAAAATCCAATAGAAATTTTCTCGTAATTATTCACAAACACACAAAATCATCACAGATACCAGATCGAAACTTATTTTACCACCTGCACGGCGCCGTTTTCCATGAGCAACTGAAACAAGAAAATTCGCATCAATCCAAGCGCGGAGCTTTTGATCGCGCCGTTTTTCTGTGCATGCGCACTAAATACTATTCTCTCTCCCTCCTTACCACCCACCCACCCTCTATCATTCTATCTCTCTCTCTCTGTCTTTCTTTCTTCCTCCTTGTCTTGCCAATACGCTTAATTTTCTCTTCTACTACTTCTTTTTAATTAACCAATCACAATTTCTTTTCGTACG